AACCCCAAATCCACAATCTCAGAAAATGAGAATATTGTGAAAAGGTGGAATAATCTCGGCTCAAAGTGTCCCACTCTAATCAGCTCATTCAGCCATAACACCTGCAAAGGGTTCCTGAGCCTTTAAATGGTCTCTCAGTCTGGTTCAGTAGGAATCCCAATCATGGGAAAGACTGCTGACCTGACACCATCACTGACACCCTCCATAAGGAGGGAAAGCCTCAGAAGGGAATTGCAGAAGAAGTTGGATGTTCCCAAAGTGCTGTATCAAAGCACATTAATAGAAAGTTATGTGGGAGGGAAAAGTGTGGAAGAAAAAGGTGCACAAGCAGCAGGGATGACTGCAGCCTGGAGAGGATTGTCAGGAAAAGGCCATTCAAAAGTGTTGGGGACTTTCACAAGGAGTGGACTGAGGCTGGAGTCAGTGCATCAAGAGCCACCACACACAGACGGATCCTGGACATGGGCTTCAAATGTCGTATTCCTCTTGTCAAGCCGCTCCTGAACAACAAACAACGTCAGAAGCGTCTTACCTGGGCTAAAAAACACAGACCTGGTCTGCTGCTCAGTGGTCCAAATTCCAAGGGCCCCGAGTATGGAGGAAGAGTGGAGAGGCCCAAGGACCCCGAGTATGGAGGAAGAATGGAGAGGCACAAGGACCTCGAGTATGGAGGAAGAGTGGAGAGGCACAAGGACCCCGAGTATGGAGGAAGAGTGGAGAGGCACAAGGACCCCGAGTATGGAGGAAGAATGGAGAGGCCCAAGGACCCCGAGTACGGAGGAAGAATGGAGAGGCCCAAGGACCCCGAGTACAGAGGAAGAATGGAGAGGCCCAAGGACCCCGAGTACGGAGGAAGAATGGAGAGGCCCAAGGACCCCGAGTACGGAGGAAGAATGGAGAGGCCCAAGGACCCCGAGTACGGAGGAATAATGGAGAGGCCCGAGGAGCCCGAGTACGGAGGAAGAATGGAGAGGCCCAAGGACCCCGAGTACGGAGGAAGAATGGAGAGGCCCGAGGACCCCGAGTACGGAGGAAGAATGGAGAGGCCCGAGGACCCCGAGTATGGAGGAAGAATGGAGAGGCACAAGGGCCCCGAGTATGGAGGAAGAATGGAGAGGCCCGAGGACCCCAAGTACGGAGGAAGAATGGAGAGGCCCAAGGGCCCCGAGTATGGAGGAAGAATGGAGAGGCACAAGGGCCCCGAGTATGGAGGAAGAATGGAGAGGCCCAAGGACCTCGAGTATGGAGGAAGAATGGAGAGGCACACACTGCAAGATGCTTGAAGTCCAGTGTGAAGTTTCCACAGTCTGTGTTGATTTGGGGAGCCATGTCATCTGCTGGTGTTGGCCCACTGTGCTTCATTAAGTCCAGGGTCACCGCAGCTGTCTACCAGGAGATTTTGGAGCACTTCCTGCTTCCTTCCGCAGACGAGCTTTATGGGGATGATGACTTCATTTTCCAGCAGGACTTGGCTCCGCCCACACTGCCAAAAGCACCAAAGCCTGGTTCAATGACCGTGGGATTACTGTGCTTGATTGGCCAGCAAACTGGCCTGACCTGAAAACCCCATAGAGAATCTATGGGGCATTGCCAAGAGAAAGATGAGAGACATGAGACCGAACAATGCAGAAGAGCTGAAGGCCGCTATTGAAGCATCCTGGTCTTCCATAACACCTCAGCAGTGCCACAGGCTGATAGCTTCCATGCCACGCCGCATTGAGGCAGTAATTGCTGCAAAGGGGCCCCAACCAAGTACTGAGTACATATGCAGCTTCTACTTCTCAGAGGTGCGATATTGTTCTGTGTACAATCCGTGTTTTATTGATTGCATGGAATATTCTCATTTTCTGAGATTGTGGATTTGGGGTTTTCATGAGCTGTAAGCCATAATCATCACAATGATGACAAATCACGGCTGGAACTATCTTGCTTTGCATGGAATGAGTCTCATATATTAGTGTCACCTTTTAAGTTGCTGCACTGAATCAATGAATGAATGAATGAATGAATGCACCAGATTGTCATTGTTCCAGTTTCACCTGTATATGGATTACTCTTGGTATAGGCAATAATATGTACACATCACCAAGATTGTATACTTACAAGAATATGAAACCAACCATTGGTCGCCACCAGTAGATCCCAATGAGTGAAGGGGGTGGGGCTTGTAGGGAGTCCCACTTATGAACTATTAATAATTTGAGTGCAACCAATGGGCTGTGATTGGTCAGACACACGGAGGAGGTCAGTAGCCCATTGATGAGTACTCTCCTAATTCTTCCCGCTCTCATAGCTCATAAACCAATGATCCCCCCAGTCAGGTGACTCCAGAGCAGATCAGTGCGGGGCCCCTAGGGAATAACTGTTATCATCATCCTTTAATGACTCCATTTTATTAGGTGACGTTACCTGAGCTGGTGCCGCTGTCATCCGCAGACAAGGCTCTGACAAAAGCCCCTTCTGAGCCCGCGCTCCCCTGCATTATGTAAATGCCCCCCAGGGCCCCCAGGCCGTGACGTTACAGACAAGACAATTCTCCTCTACAATGGGGCCCTCCAGAATCCCGCTCAGCGGGGGGGATAACTGGAAGATAACATCTATCTGCTTATGTCTTTGTCTACATTTGTAGCGCAGCTTAAGAGGTATGAGGACAGGAGAGCACACCGCAGCGCACCGGGCCATTCACTCACAAATCTCCAGCAGGACGGGCCAGTTCTTAAGCGTGTCCCGTTTTCTGGAATCCCCCATTTCCATAGCCACAGACATTAGATGAGCTTCAGATAATCTGCTCCCAGTCTGAATCCAGGAAATGCTCACAATGTCTGTAGGAACATTCAGAAGTACGGCTTGCCACCGGAGGGGGACAATGGATTGGCCAATCACTAAGGTACTCCTGGTCCATAAACATGCACGCCTGGGCAATATCATGTGTAGCACTTCAGATATTTATTCCCTCTCACAGAGATCACAAAACTCCCCTTCACGATGAATTCATCTGCTTTTGCCACCAGAAGGAAGGCGCCATCTTTGTCCAGGCATCGTCCAGGATCACCATCTACGTCCTGGACACCGGCTCAGAGATTCTTCGCTGTGTTCACAAATGTTTTGCACATATCAGCCCTGCCACAGCCTCTCACCTTGTGATTTCTTACATCGTTACAATGTTGCAGTCTGATCATGGAGGGAGGGGGGGGGACTGAGGAAATGCCTTCTTTCTGCCTGCAGCAGACGGATGACATCATCTCAACCCAGACGACGGAAGTCAAGCAGAGCTCTCTAGAGGTTCCTAAGGGTTCCCTGAAGAATGAAAAATTCCTGACTCTCAGATAAAAAAAAAACAACACTGACCACCAATGTAAGGGACATTCCCTGCACTGACCCCCAATGTGAGGGACATTCTTCCACTGACCCCCAATGTAAGGGACATTCTTCCCACTGACCCCCAATGTAAGGGACATTCTTCCCACCGACCCCCAATGTAAGGGACATTCTTCCCACTGACCCCCAATGTAAGGGACATTCTTCCCACTGACCCCCAATGTAAGGGACATTCTTCCCACTGACCCCCAATGTAAGGGACATTCTTCCCACTGACCCCCAATGTAAGGGACATTCTTCCCACTGACCCCCAATGTAAGGGACATTCTTCCCACTGATCCCCAATGTAAGGGACATTCTTCCCACTGACCCCCAATGTAAGGGACATTCTTCCCACTGACCCCCAATGTAAGGGACATTCTTCCCACTGACCCCCAATGTAAGGGACATTCTTCCCACCGATCACCAATGTAAGGGACATTCTTCCCACTGACCAACAATGTAAGGGACATTCTTCCCACTGATCCCCAATGTAAGGGACATTCTTCCCACTGATCCCCAATGTAAGGGACATTCTTCCCACCGACCCCCAATGTAAGGGACATTCTTCCCACTGACCCCCAATGTAAGGGACATTCTTCCCACTGACCAACAATGTAAGGGACATTTTTTCCCACTGACTCCCCCCCAATGTAAGGGACATTCTTCCCACTGACCCCCAATGTAAGGGACATTCTTCCCACTGACCCCCAATGTAAGGGACATTCTTCCCACTGACCCCAATGTAAGGGACATTCTTCCCACTGATCCCCAATGTAAGGGACATTCTTCCCACTGACCCCCAATGTAAGGGACATTCTTCCCACTGATCACCAATGTAAGGGACATTCTTCCCACTGACCCCCAATGTAAGGGACATTCTTCCCACTGACCCCCAATGTAAGGGACATTCTTCCCACTGACCCCCAATGTAAGGGACATTCTTTCCCACTGACCCCCAATGTAAGGGACATTCTTCCCACTGACCCCCAATGTAAGGGACATTCTTCCCACTGATCCCCAATGTAAGGGACATTCTTCCCACCGACCCCCAATGTAAGGGACATTCTTCCCACTGACCCCCAATGTAAGGACGTTCTTCCCACTGACCCCCAATGTAAGGGACATTCTTCCCACTGACCCCCAATGTAAGGGACGTTCTTCCCACTGACCCCCAATGTAAGGGACGTTCTTCCCACTGACCCCCAATGTAAGGGACATTCTTCCCACTGACCCCCAATGTAAGGGACATTCTTCCCACTGACCCCCAATGTAAGGGACGTTCTTCCCACTGACCCCCAATGTAAGGGACATTCTTCCCACTGACCCCCAATGTAAGGGACGTTCTTCCCACTGACCCCCAATGTAAGGGACGTTCTTCCCACTGACCCCCAATGTAAGGGACATTCTTCCCACTGACCCCCAATGTAAGGGACATTCTTCCCACTGACCACCAATGTAAGGGACGTTCTTCCCACTGACCCCCAATGTAAGGGACGTTCTTTCCCACTGACCCCCAATGTAAGGGACATTCTTCCCACTGACCCCCAATGTAAGGGACATTCTTCCCACTGACCCCCAATGTAAGGGACATTCTTCCCACTGACCACCAATGTAAGGGACATTCTTCCCACTGACCCCAATGTAAGGGACATTCTTCCCACTGACCCCAATGTAAGGGACATTCTTCCCACTGACCCCCAATGTAAGGGACATTCTTCCCACTGACCCCCAATGTAAGGGACATTCTTCCCACTGACCCCCAATGTAAGGGACATTCTTCCCACTGACCACCAATGTAAGGGACATTCTTCCCACTGACCCCCAATGTAAGGGACATTCTTCCCACTGACCACCAATGTAAGGGACATTCTTCCCACTGACCCCCAATGTAAGGGACATTCTTCCCACTGACCACCAATGTAAGGGACATTCTTCCCACTGACCACCAATGTAAGGGACATTCTTCCCACTGACCACCAATGTAAGGGACATTCTTCCACTGACCCCCAATGTAAGGGACATTTCTTCCCACTGACCCCCAATGTAAGGGACATTCTTCCCACTGACCCCCAATGTAAGGGACATTCTTCCCACTGACCACCAATGTAAGGGACATTCTTCCCACTGACCACCAATGTAAGGGACATTCTTCCCACTGACCCCCAATGTAAGGGACATTCTTCCCACTGACCCCCAATGTAAGGGACATTCTTCCCACTGACCCCCAATGTAAGGGACATTCTTCCCACTGACCCCCAATGTAAGGGACATTCTTCCCACTGACCCCCAATGTAAGGGACATTCTTCCCACTGATCCCCAATGTAAGGGACATTCTTCCCACTGACCCCCAATGTAAGGGACATTCTTCCCACTGACCCCCAATGTAAGGGACATTCTTCCCACTGACCCCCAATGTAAGGGACATTCTTCCCACTGACCCCCAATGTAAGGGACATTCTTCCCACTGACCCCCAATGTAAGGGACATTCTTCCCACTGACCCCCAATGTAAGGGACATTCTTCCCACTGACCCCCAATGTAAGGGACATTCTTCCCACTGACCCCCAATGTAAGGGACATTCTTCCCACTGACCCCCAATGTAAGGGACATTCTTCCCACTGACCCCAATGTAAGGGACATTCTTCCCACTGACCCCCAATGTAAGGGACATTCTTCCCACTGACCACCAATGTAAGGGACATTCTTCCCACTGACCCCCAATGTAAGGGACATTCTTCCCACTGACCACCAATGTAAGGGACATTCTTCCCACTGACCCCCAATGTAAGGGACATTCTTCCCACTGACCCCCAATGTAAGGGACATTCTTCCCACTGACCCCCAATGTAAGGGACATTCTTCCCACTGACCCCCAATGTAAGGGACATTCTTCCCACTGACCCCCAATGTAAGGGACATTCTTCCCACTGACCCCCAATGTAAGGGACATTCTTCCCACTGACCCCCAATGTAAGGGACATTCTTCCCACTGACCCCAATGTAAGGGACATTCTTCCCACTGACCCCCAATGTAAGGGACATTCTTCCCACTGACCCCCAATGTAAGGGACATTCTTCCCACTGACCCCCAATGTAAGGGACATTCTTCCCACTGACCCCCAATGTAAGGGACATTCTTCCCACTGACCCCCAATGTAAGGGACGTTCTTCCCACTGACCCCCAATGTAAGGGACGTTCTTTCCCACTGACCCCCAATGTAAGGGACATTCTTCCCACTGACCCCCAATGTAAGGGACATTCTTCCCACTGACCCCCAATGTAAGGGACATTCTTCCCACTGACCCCCAATGTAAGGGACATTCTTCCCACTGACCCCCAATGTAAGGGACATTCTTCCCACTGACCCCCAATGTAAGGGACATTCTTCCCACTGACCCCCAATGTAAGGGACATTCTTCCCACTGACCCCCAATGTAAGGGACATTCTTCCCACTGACCCCCAATGTAAGGGACATTCTTCCCACTGACCCCCAATGTAAGGGACATTCTTCCCACTGACCCCCAATGTAAGGGACATTCTTCCCACTGACCACCAATGTAAGGGACATTCTTCCCACTGACCCCCAATGTAAGGGACATTCTTCCCACTGACCCCCAATGTAAGGGACATTCTTCCCACTGACCCCCAATGTAAGGGACATTCTTCCCACTGACCCCCAATGTAAGGGACATTCTTCCCACTGACCCCAATGTAAGGGACATTCTTCCCACTGACCCCCCCAATGTAAGGGACATTCTTCCCACTGACCCCCAATGTAAGGGACATTCTTCCCACTGACCCCCAATGTAAGGGACATTCTTCCCACTGACCCCCAATGTAAGGGACATTCTTCCCACTGACCCCCAATGTAAGGGACATTCTTCCCACTGACCCCCAATGTAAGGGACATTCTTCCCACTGACCCCCAATGTAAGGGACATTCTTCCCACTGACCCCCAATGTAAGGGACATTCTTCCCACTGACCCCCAATGTAAGGGACATTCTTCCCACTGACCCCCAATGTAAGGGACATTCTTCCCACTGACCCCCAATGTAAGGGACATTCTTCCCACTGACCCCCAATGTAAGGGACATTCTTCCCACTGACCCCCAATGTAAGGGACATTCTTCCCACTGACCCCCAATGTAAGGGACATTCTTCCCACTGACCCCCAATGTAAGGGACATTCTTCCCACTGACCCCCAATGTAAGGGACATTCTTCCCACTGACCCCCAATGTAAGGGACATTCTTCCCACTGACCCCCAATGTAAGGGACATTCTTCCCACTGACCCCAATGTAAGGGACATTCTTCCCACTGACCCCCAATGTAAGGGACATTCTTCCCACTGACCCCCAATGTAAGGGACATTCTTCCCACTGACCCCCAATGTAAGGGACATTCTTCCCACTGACCCCCAATGTAAGGGACATTCTTCCCACTGACCCCCAATGTAAGGGACATTCTTCCCACTGACCCCCAATGTAAGGGACATTCTTCCCACTGACCCCCAATGTAGGGACATTCTTCCCACTGACCCCCAATGTAAGGGACATTCTTCCCACTGACCCCCAATGTAAGGGACGTTCTTCCCACTGACCCCCAATGTAAGGGACATTCTTCCCACTGACCCCCCAATGTAAGGGACATTCTTCCCACTGACCCCCAATGTAAGGGACATTCTTCCCACTGACCCCCAATGTAAGGGACATTCTTCCCACTGACCCCCAATGTAAGGGACATTCTTCCCACTGACCCCCAATGTAAGGGACATTCTTCCCACTGACCCCCAATGTAAGGGACATTCTTCCCACTGACCCCCAATGTAAGGGACATTCTTCCCACTGACCCCCAATGTAAGGGACATTTCTTCCCACTGACCCCCAATGTAAGGGACATTCTTCCCACTGACCCCCAATGTAAGGGACATTCTTCCCACTGACCCCCAATGTAAGGGACATTCTTCCCACTGACCCCCAATGTAAGGGACATTCTTCCACTGACCCCAATGTAAGGGGACACCCCCAATGTAAGGGACATTCTTCCCACTGACCCCCAATGTAAGGGACATTCTTCCCACTGACCCCCAATGTAAGGGACATTCTTCCCACTGACCCCCAATGTAAGGGACATTCTTCCCACTGACCCCCCAATGTAAGGGACATTCTTCCCACTGACCCCCAATGTAAGGGACATTCTTCCCACTGACCCCCAATGTAAGGGACATTCTTCCCACTGACCCCCAATGTAAGGGACATTCTTCCCCCACCAATGTAAGGGACCCCCCAATGTAAGGGACATTCTTCCCACCCACTGACTGACCCCAATGTATGTAAGGGACATTCTTTTCCCACTGATCCCCAATGTAAGGGACGTTCTTCCCACTGACCCCCAATGTAAGGGACATTCTTCCCACTGACCACCAATGTAAGGGACATTCTTCCCACTGACCCCCAATGTAAGGGACATTCTTCCCACTGACCACAATGTAAGGGACATTCTTCCCACTGACCCCCAATGTAAGGGACATTCTTCCCACTGACCCCCAATGTAAGGGACGTTCTTCCCACTGACCCCCAATGTAAGGGACGTTCTTCCCACTGACCCCCAATGTAAGGGACATTCTTCCCACTGACCCCCAATGTAAGGGACATTCTTCCCACTGACCACCAATGTAAGGGACATTCTTCCACTGACCCCCAATGTAAGGGACATTCTTCCCACTGACCCCCAATGTAAGGGACATTCTTCCCACTGACCCCCAATGTAAGGGACGTTCTTCCCACTGACCCCCAATGTAAGGGACGTTCTTCCCACTGACCCCCAATGTAAGGGACATTCTTCCCACTGACCCCCAATGTAAGGGACATTCTTCCCACTGACCCCCAATGTAAGGGACATTCTTCCCACTGACCCCCAATGTAAGGGACATTCTTCCCACTGACCCCCAATGTAAGGGACATTCTTCCCACTGACCCCAATGTAAGGGACATTCTTCCCACTGACCCCCAATGTAAGGGACATTCTTCCCACTGACCCCCAATGTAAGGGACATTCTTCCCACTGACCCCCAATGTAAGGGACATTCTTCCCACTGACCCCCAATGTAAGGGACATTCTTCCCACTGACCCCCAATGTAAGGGACGTTCTTCCCACTGACCCCCAATGTAAGGGACATTCTTCCCACTGACCCCCAATGTAAGGGACATTCTTCCCACTGACCCCCAATGTAAGGGACATTCTTCCCACTGACCCCCAATGTAAGGGACATTCTTCCCACTGACCCCCAATGTAAGGGACATTCTTCCCACTGACCCCCCAATGTAAGGGACATTCTTCCCACTGACCCCCAATGTAAGGGACATTCTTCCCACTGACCCCCAATGTAAGGGACATTCTTCCCACTGACCCCCAATGTAAGGGACATTCTTCCCACTGACCCCCAATGTAAGGGACATTCTTCCCACTGACCCCCAATGTAAGGGGACATTCTTCCCACTGACCCCCAATGTAAGGGACATTCTTCCCACTGACCCCCAATGTAAGGGACATTCTTCCCACTGACCCCCAATGTAAGGGACACATTCTTCCACTGACCCCCAATGTAAGGGACATTCTTCCCACTGACCCCAATGTAAGGGACATTCTTCCCACGGACCCCCAATGTAAGGGACATTCTTCCCACTGACCCCCAATGTAAGGGACATTCTTCCCACTGATCCCCAATGTAAGGGACATTCTTCCCACTGACCCCCAATGTAAGGGACATTCTTCCCACTGACCCCCAATGTAAGGGACATTCTTCCCACTGACCCCCAATGTAAGGGACATTCTTCCCACTGACCCCCAATGTAAGGGACATTCTTCCCAGCGACCCCCAATGTAAGGGACATTCTTCCCACTGACCCCCAATGTAAGGGACATTCTTCCCACTGACCCCCAATGTAAGGGACGTTCTTCCCACTGACCCCCAATGTAAGAGACATTCTTCCCACTGACCCCCAATGTAAGAGACGTTCTTCCCACTGACCCCCAATGTAAGGGACGTTCTTCCACTGACCCCCAATGTAAGGGACATTCTTCCACTGACCCCCAATGTAAGGGACATTCTTCCCACTGACCCCCAATGTAAGGGACATTCTTCCCACTGACCCCCAATGTAAGGGACGTTCTTCCCACTGACCCCCAATGTAAGGGACATTCTTCCCACTGACCCCCAATGTAAGGGACGTTCTTCCCACTGATCCCCAATGTAAGGGACATTCTTCCCACTGATCCCCAATGTAAGGGACGTTCTTCCCACTGATCCCCCAATGTAAGGGACATTCTTCCCACTGACCCCCAATGTAAGGGGACGTTCTTCCCACTGACCCCCAATGTAAGGGACGTTCTTCCCACTGACCCCCAGTGTAAGGGAC